CAATACGACTTAGTTCCTTGGCAACGATTACATTCTTTTTTTTTAATAAAACAAAGAAAAAGAAGAAAATTATAAATATTTAAAGCCTTTATCATTGAATAAAATACCAATAAATGAAATTCTTACCATCAATTTAGTATTTGCGTAATTTCTTTGCTAACAACTTAAAATTTTTTAAATGTATTGTAAAATTAATATTACAGTACATTATATACAAACCATGTTAAGATACTCGTTATTGGTCTTGTAGGGACATCGTACAATAGTTATATAATATTAATTGTAATATTAATTTATTAATATGTATATTTAATATAAATTGTAGCAAATTATTGTAAAATATATTGTAAAATTTAATTATAAAATAAATTGTAAATTTTATTGTAAAAATACATCTGTAATTTTAATCGTAAAATACATTTCCTCTATCTTCATTTAAATACTCCTCTACCATTCTTCATCTTTTTTTGATGTAAACGCTATTAAAGAAATTATGCATCAGTAACTGTTCGTTAATATAACTAAAGATAAAGAAAATACTTACAAAAATCTGAAAACCAACACGAAATGTTAGAAACATTTCGTTAACGTTAAATAAAAAGATTTTAAAAAAACATATTCATCTTCCCACCAAAATCCACATTCTAAATCTGTATAAAAAAAGAAAATTTTCAAAATTCATACGTTCAGGCCTATCAAAAAAAAGAATAGAATTTGGAATGTTAAAATAAATTTCGTTAGTATAAATAAACTAAAGCAGAGAAAAAACTTACCAATTCCGCGTTTCGTTAAAGAAAGAATCCCCTACAAAAATTCTGCGCGTCCAAGGACTTGACTGCATATAAAAAAAAAAGATAAAATTGAAACGTTAGCAAGACGTTTCACTAAAAGAATTAAATTAATAAAATATATTTCAGAATCCCTTACCGAAACAATACGCACCCAGGTACTGGNGTTATTGGTCTTGTAGGGACATCGTACAATAGTTATATAATATTAATTGTAATATTAATTTATTAATATGTATATTTAATATAAATTGTAACAAATTATTGTAAAATATATTGTAAATTTTATTGTAAAAATACATCTGTAATTTTAATTGTAAAATACATTTCCTCTATCCTCCTTTAAATACTCCTCTCTTCACCATTCTTCATCTTTTTTTGATGTAAACGCTATTAAAGAAATTATACATTAGTAACTGTTCGTTAATATAATTAAAGATAAAGAAAATACTTGCCAAAATCTGAAAACCAACACACTCGTCTAAAAAAAGGAAAAGAACGAAATGTTAGAAACATTTTGTTAACGTTAAATAAAAAGATTAAAAAACATATTCGTCTTCCTACCAAAATCCACGTTCTAAATCTGTCTAAAAAAAGAAATTTTTCAAAATCCATACGTTCAGGCCTATCAAAAAAAAGAATAAAATTTGGAATGTTAAAATAAATTTCGTTAGAATAAATAAACTAAAGCAGAGAAAAAACTTACCAATTCCGCGTTTCGTTAAAGAAAGAATCCCCTACCAAAATTCTGCGCGTCCAAGGACTTGACTGCATATAAAAAAAAAGAGAAAATTGAAATGTTAGTAAAACGTTTCACTAAAAGAATTAAATTAATAAAATATATTTTGGAATCCCTTACCGAAACAATACGCGCCCAGGTACTGGCCGTCTAAAAAAAAGAGAACGTTAGTAAAACGTTTCATTAAAGTATAAATTAAAAAAAATCTTTTAAATCAAATAAATAATTGTTCTTTTCTAAAAAAAATTCAATATTCATATATATTAAATATATTTGGTCTAACCATTTTTTTCAAAGATTCGGGCAATTTGTTGTATTTCGTTTACCTATAAAAAACTTCACGTGTCCAAGACACGCTCAACCTAAAAAAAAGAGAATATTGAAAGGTTAATAAAATGTTTTGTTAAAGGAATAAGTTCAAAGAAAAGTTTCAATACTTACTGAAATTAACATTTTTCAAAGATCTGTTGCCTAAAAAAAAGGAGAAATATCAAAACGTTAGTAAAATGTTTCGTTAAAAGGAATAATTTCAAAGAAAGTTCTGATACAATACTTTTAAGATCCGGTCACCTAAAAAAAAGAAACCCCAAAATATTAAAAAACGGTTCGTTAAAAAAATATAAAGAAACATTAAAAAATATTGTCTGATTTCTCACCAAAATCCCACATATCCGATAGAAACAAAAAAAAAAACAAAAAATATCATACCAGAATCCTATATCCAAAGAAAATTAAAAGAATCGCCTAGATAAAAGAAAGTAAACGAATTGTTAGAATCTGTTCGTTAAAACAAAACAATTAAAAAAAAAAATTGAATAACTTACCGAGATTTGCGTCTAAAAAGACCGAAAGAACTGCCTAAAAAAAAAAGAAAAAAGTTGAAATGTTAAAAACGTTTCATTGAAATAGATAATTAAGAAAAAAAAAAATTTCCACCTTATTCCCACGTGTCAAAATAGCCGAAGAACTAAATCGTCTAAAAAAAAGTAAGAAAAACAACTATTAGAAATCGTTAGTTAAAAAATAAACAATTAAAAAAAAAGACAAATTTACCGAAGTTCGCATCTAAGGAGAGATAGCTAGTAAGATTTTTCAACAAAAGGTCGGAAAAAAGAAAAAAAAGAAATGGGAAATGTAAAAGTAAAGGGAAAAGAGAAGGGAAGGAAAAGGAAAGAATAAAGGAGAGACAAAAGAAGGGTATGAAGGGAAATGAAGGGGCGAATGAAAGAAAAGGGAAAAATGAAAAAAAAGGTTCAAAAAAAAAAGTTTAAAAAAAAAAATGTTAAAAAAAAAGGTTAAAAAAAAGGTTAAAAAAAATTTAGTTGATCGAACTGCGGATTATATCACATACACGTGATACATAATTTTATATAAATAGGGGGATTTCTCCGAAACTTAACATTAAAAATTATTGTTCATCACATTATAGATTATATACTATTGTCAATATTAAATTTTAATAGTATATACTAGATGTAACCTGTCGCGTTGCAGCGGGAATGATACTTGCCCATCAAGTAAGAGAGTAATAAAGAGAGTAATAATAACACACGTCTCCCATCACTCCTCTTCATCTTCTCATCAATTCTTTACGTCTCCCATCACTCCTTTTTACTTCCCATTACTCCTCTTCGTCTCCCATCACTCCTTTTTACTTCCCATCACTCCTCTTCGTCTCCCATCACTCCTTTTTACCTCCCATCACTCCTCTTCGTCTCCCGTCACTTCTTTTCGTTTCCTATCACTACTTTTCATCTCTCATCATATCCTATTTCTCCTTTTTGCTTCTCATTACTCTTTTTTTCTCTTTCATCTTCTATTACTTTCCATTACTCCATTGTTATTTCATTTTTTTATTAGCATCTTTCTCCTTGGTCATTGTAATTTATTTATCTTTTTATTTATTGTTATTGTTTAAATACAGTGATTTTTTTCTTTAAAATCGTAAATGTGTGGCTTAAATTTTAATATTTGCAAATAAAATTTTATCAAATAAGATTATTTTGAATAAATATGCAAAAAAATTTTTTTTTTATAAATATCATCGCAATAAAATTTAAGTTTAACCGATCAAAATAGCCAAGTTAAAAAATCAGCCATCAGCCGACTAATAAATTTGTACATCATGTGACATATTTGATAAAAAACCGCCCAGGCGTCAGTTAGCAATCCTCCCAAAAAAATATCTCACATCCTCCAAAAATCAATTATAACAATCTATTGTCATGAAAAAACATTTTCCCATAGAATTTACTAAACCGATCTATTTTTACAAAAAATAAATAAGTAAATTATTTCAGTCTATTTATATTGAGCCTAAAAAATAATTAGGAAAATATTACTAATAATAATAAGAATCGGGAAAAAAGGCAATTACCGTGGTGCCACAGCGTCAATCCGATCACTGATCTAAATCTAAATGGTTTAAGAATGTGGTTTGGGAAAAAAAAAATAACAATTAAGAAAATTGAAAAAAAAAGCAAAAAATAAAATTTGGGGGAAAAGAAAAAGGATAAGGAAAGAAAAAAAAGGAATCCGTAAAAAAAATAAGTACCGAAAAAAATTCCGAAAAAAATGAACAATAAATCTGGTCCAAAAAGACTGAAAAAAAAAATTTTAAAATAAATTAATAATACGGTCTAAAAAAAAAGACGAAAAAAATAATAATATAAAAAAAATCGGTCTTAAAAGACCAAACAATAGGATTATTTATAAAAAAAAAAAAATTTTCAGTTTGGAAAAAAAAACCAAACCAAACAGGGAAAGAATAAAAAAACCAAAAAAATTCTCGGGTTGGAAAAAAAAACCAAACCGAAAAAGAAAGAGGAAAAAAAAAATGGAAAAAAGGTGGTTCAAAAAAGAAAAGAGGAAAGAACCAGAACCGAAAGTAAAAGATCGATTCGGATTATTAGATATACAACATTACTTGCTGATCAAGCGGGTCTTAGCTATAAAGAATACGGATCAGCAATTCAAAATTAATTTATACAGGCTAATCTAAACATTACGGTATTTTTTTAGTTATAGATAGATTAATGGCAATTCTACTAATTGCAAAATTTATTGTAGATTATGTTATAAATAATTAATTGTGAAAATTCATTATACAATATTTTGTACAATATATATATAAGTAAAATCTTGTGAAAACATTGTAAAAGATTATAAGATTCATTGGAAAATGTATCAGAATTATATATTTTACAATTGATTGTGAATAAATTAATATTAAAAATGTATTGTTAGAAATATCGTACTATATATTTTCAGATTTAAAATACCTTGTACAAGACTTGTACAATGATTGCACAATGCATTATGAAAATTTAGCATTGTTAGCAAAGTTCCTTTAACAGGATTCCAGTAGCTAGAATGTTTTTCGAGATTTAAATTGTCAAAGTCAATCTCACCATTGAAATGAACAGATGAGCTAGTAAATGCAATTTTTCCGGGTAATTCAGCAGAAACCGATTTTTTAATTGTATCCAATAACAATGAAGTAAGTAAAAATGGCGCTAAATGGTTGACCTATAATAATATATAAGGTTATAAAGCGAATACTATGCAAACGATTTGTAGAAAAAAATAATAATAATAAATTTACCTGAAATTGTATTTCAAGGTTATCCTTTGTTTTAATAACTTGATTGCTAGACATTACTCCTACGGTGAAAGATACGTCGAATAAATAAATACAGAAAAAAAATGCAACAATATTAACTAAATCATCATTTTTTAATTTACCTGCATTATTTAATAACATATGTAATTCTCCAACTTCTTTGATGAATTTATTAGCAAAGTTTTTTACACTTTGTAAATCTGCTAAATCCATTTCCCAAACTTCAACATTTTTTGCATGTCTATTAGAAGATTTAATATATTCTAATACATCGTTTGCTTTTTCTTGATTACGAACTGGTAAAACCAATCGTTTTGGATTAAATCCAGCTAAAATTCTTGTCATTTCTTTACCAATACCTTAAATAGAATAAAATGTAAGTGATTGAATTATTTGAAGCGGAATTGTATTAAGTTAAATTTATTTACCATCAGTTGCGCCAGTAAGTATTATAACGTTTTTTGATAAATCGTAATTGTTATTTAATTTGACTGGCATTGTTTTTTATTTATTTTTTTTTTTAAAAAAAATAAAAAAGTTTATTATTGATAGTCTGTTATTTGAAAATTTTGATTTCTTTTATAAGTACCTCCTCCATAGACAGTGAACTCATTATGGAAATTTAATTCAACGAATAACTAACTTTATTTGATTCGACCCAGACTAGTGTCACGATCCGTGTCCGGATAAAATTCTTAGCACATTTAATTTTTTACAAAAATACGTGATAATTTATGGTTTCGTTCGCAGATATCGAATATTATTAATAAATATTGGCATAAAATTTATTTCAATTATTAGTAATAGTATTTTTCTAAAGTACAAGATAAAGAACATTAATAGCATTGTTTAATTTAGATCTCAATAATTTTTTTTTTTTTTTTTTTAGGAAATTTGCAATGATTTTGTTCAGGTAGACGTCATATTTGTCATATTTGTTTTGAATTATTATATCAATTGTACAATGAAGATTAATGTGGTGCTTAATAATGATGTTCTATGAAGCGCCATACTGATCCAAAGTCTGGAACTAAACCCTGGATCAAACCCTAGATTTATCCGGGGTGAAAATAGATTTTTAAATCCATATTTCATCCCGGATTTTCCTATATTTTATCCCAGATTTTCCAATATTTATCCTGGATCTGATCCATATTTTATTCCAGGAGCATCTCGTGTAAACAAAAATTTTCTTTATTTTAAGAAGTTTCTAAAATATAAACAAAAATCTGATCACATGACTTAGTGATAAATATAAGATCAGGATTATATATACTGTATATAATACCGATATATATATATTTAATGTAGGACGAAGGCCTCCTTTTGGAGGGTTATATGTTCTCTTTGACAGTCTTGCCGACTTCACATAAAATAAATAAATAAATAAATACCGATATATATATTATAAATATTATATATATAATATATATTATTATATATGAAATATAGATCAAATCTGGGATAAAATATGGATAATCCAGGGTTTGGTGATGTAATTTTTGGTGAAATTTAAGGAATTAATCCGGGATAAAATGTGTGGATGATAAAATATGGGAAGATCCGGGATGAAATAATACTCAAATATAGGAAAATCCAGGATGAAATATGGGATTAATCCGTTTTCACCCAGATAAATCCGGGATTTTTTGATCAGTATGGTAACCCAGACTTTTGATTAGTATGGCGCTTCATACTCATCGTTTTAGATTTACCTCATGATACACTGATACGCACAAACTGTTACCCTTTTTGGTCGTAAACTATTTTATCACTACGTAACTACTACTATGTAACTTGGTCGTTTTTAATGACTTGATTATTGATCATAATTCCTACGGAGAAAAATACATCGAATAATAATATAAATATACAAAAAATACGAACCTTAATAATATTAAATCACCGTTTTTATTATTTGTAATTCTCTAATTTCTATTGATGAATATATTATCAAAGTTTTTCCACTTTGTAAATCGCTTCCCAAATTCTAATAAATTATTTCTTTTTCTTTATTAGTACGTGTTTGTAGTCGGGTTAAATTCTTGCCATTTGTTTAATAAATGATTTATTTATTGAAAAGAAAGTGTATAAGTTGAATACTTGAATTTATTTACCATCAATGTGAACTACAGTACATGCATCAAAATTATCGATTTTATTTTTTATTTTTTAATTATCATTTTTTTTTTACAAGCGAAATTATATAAATCTTTCCTTATATTAGTATAAAGAATGCGAGTAACTTTTCTCAGAAAATATTATTTACTTGAGGATGCTTGTGAAGTAGATAATAATTAAAATTCGACGAGAGTGATACCACGAAATTTACTATTGGATGTAATTATAATTGTTATTATGTTATTAACGTGACAAAGATATCAGAAAAAGATGGGGACGAGGTCTATAGCGATTATTTATATGTTGATGATACACGTAAAAGTTTTAAAACTATGATAGATCAAAAAATTATATAACCTAATCTTATGCAGGTGGTGACTGGTGAGGAGGAAGAAGTTGTAATATCTTTAAATAAAAATCGAATTGTTTTATCGATAAATTTAATAAACTATGAATTACAAATATATATAGTAATATTTCAAAATAAGAGGAGTATAGAAATGCAGGAAGGAAGGCTGTAAAAAAATAATTGTGGATCCTGGAGGGATAAAAACAAAGCAAGACTTTAGTTGGCCCGGAGGAAGAAACAAACTGATCTATGATTAGATTAGGATTAAGGGTTAGGATGTTATTTAGCACATCAAATCACGTCCTGTCTCATCACTTCCGTTTTTTCAATAATAAAATCCTATTTGACATCCCTAGTATCTCACCGTCCAATCAGAACATTGGAATTAAATTAGTGGAGTCGGTTAATAATGGTATAAAATTTTTTCTATAACGAAGTGTCTTTTTCTATTTCAAATTTCTAAAATATCACTAAGCAATTTTGTACGAAATGACTATCAATACAAAATTTTAATTCAAAACTTAAGTATAACAACATCCTTGGTTTTATTATACCGACTCATGATTAAAATTTATTTTACGAAATTCCGGACAGATATTGTAGAGCATGAAGCTTTACAATATTGATATTATTCATACGGATAACGAATTCAAACTCTAAAAAAAAAAAAGGTTTCGCCCTGAAAGTTCCTAAGAAAAAGGATCATTTATGGAAAGTTAGGTTCATTCAATAAAACACATATAACTTGCTTTTTCGGAAAAAAAACAAGAAAATATATGGTAGTTCTGGAATAGTTTTTGATTTCGAAATGCGGAACATATTTTTTAAAAGCGATATGATTGAAAAATGTATTTTTAATTTGTACTATAATACATTAATATGTATTTTAAAGAATTTTAATGATACAATTGCTACAGGAAAGCGGCATCTTAAAGTTTATTCATGGGGATGAAATCGGGAGAAGAAAGTAACATCTGAACGCTTTTAACTTTTGTTAAAAAATGATGCTTTTATTACAGCATTTCTACCACTTTTATACAGTAATACAAATCCATTTTTTTATTTTAAAAAAAGTTGTTAATAGAAATCAAAATTTTGCCTAATCTAACCAGAAATATAAATTAACAAAAATTAATGCTATCAAGAAGAATAGTTAGAAGCAAAAAAAATCTTGAATTGGATACTATTTAAAATAAATAAATGATGAAAAGTTTACCGATAAAGAATCACAATGAAATAATGATTAAATTTTTGAGATTTTATTTAATCAGATATATTTCATTTTGTTAGTTTTAACGAACGAATAAAATATGAATTTAATAAATAAACTATGAGTCTAAGTTTATTTTGAGTTTAAGTAAGTGGACGTATTTCACCAATTCCAAATTCATTTAATAAAGGATTTCAAGAAGGTTTTATATTCTTTGTTTAATTATCCATTGGTTTAATTTTATTTTGGAAAAGAAAGAAAAGTTTATAAACGTAATTTTGTTCGTATCCGATTACATAATTACATAAAATCGCGAAGTATTTGTATCGTTCAAGTAGTTTCGTAGAATTATTTATTATTTATTTTAAAAAAAAAAGGGATATCATTTCAAAGAATTTCGAAGGGCCACTGAGAAGGTTACATGGTGTATCTTAAGCTTTTTGAAATTAAGCTCATCTTTAAATAAAATTATTAGTATTTGCGACACAAATCAAAATCTACATATAACGCCGTGAGGCGTGGGCGCAGCTGCGCCACACATTTTTGCCACGAACCTGGCACACAAAAAAGGGATGCGAGTGTTTTAAACGGTAAATAATAAATAAATCAATAAGGCTGATCGCAATTACATCGTGGAGAAAGAAAATTTATATATTAATATTGAAAGATAAAATAGAATCATTAAATCAAGCGTGATATGAATTTTATATAATCAACACGTGAATAATAAGATATTCATTAATTCGCCGATAAAGGATTTAATTAAATCATTTATACACGTATAGAAACTAGTATCTATAAGGAACTTAAACTAATATTAATAAAATAATATACTGAAACTAAAAAAAAAAATCTTTTAAATTTATTTTATAAAATGTTGTCGTGTGAAACAGAGAACTGATTTTGAATTTTTAGATCATTTCATGATCTTTAATATTTGTTCAGAAACGTTCCATAGTCTCTTCATAACTTCTACAATTTCATTTGGTTCCTTTTCAAGACCTTCATGATAATATTTTCCAGTTTCTTTATTTTCGGGAGAAAGCACGGGATATAGAACATTGATGGCACCTTGTTCAGCTGGTATTTCATACATTTTTACAAATAAATTTTGGAGAAAATTTGACAAGCCGCTATTCATATGGCCTAAATTTGTTTGAATTATACCAGGTTGAAGCAAAAACGTCGTAATATCTGCATATTTTATAAAAAGAGTTAAAGTAATGCTAGTAAAAAAAAAAATCTTTTTTTTTTATAATACTTACTTTCATTTTTGTTTTAAACTACACGACTTAGTTCCTTGGTAACAATAATATTCTTTTTTTTTTTTGAAGAAAAAAAAAAGATACCAATTATAAATCTTAGAGCCTTTATCATTAAGTAAAATATAAATAAATATACTATGATCGAAATTCTTACCATCAATTTAGTATTTGCATAACCTTGAAAGGACCAAAGTAAGCACCTTTCTCAAGATTTAAATTATCAAAATCAATTTTTCCATATCTTTGAGTTCCCGAACTTGTAAATGCAATTTTTCCAGGTAATTCAGCGGAAACCGATTTTTTTATTGTATCCAATAACAATAAAGTAAGTAACAATGGTGCTAGATGGTTGACCTAAAATAATGTAATGTTAAAAAGAGAATTCAAACAAACGAAATTGCAAAAAAAAAGAAATAAATTACCTGAAATTGTATTTCCAAGTTATCCTTCGTTTTAATGACTTGATTATTAATCATTATTCCTATGGAGGGGATAGATAAATATATACAATAAATACGAAACGTAATAAAATACATACTTGTTATTCCATGGGTATCAATGAATAACTGAAATATTCACCGATGCTCCCCTCCCTTCGGGGGGCCCCAAGGCATCGGTGTATATGGAGTATTTATTAGATACCCATGGAATAACAGGTTTATCTCATTGTGTATGGCGTATACACCGATGGATTTTATACTTTTTTATACTTTTTTTATACCGGTGGAATAATTTACAAAAAAATCCATCGGTGTATACATAATACCGATGGGATAAAATATCATTATTTTTATTACCTGCATTATTAAATAATATATGCAATTCTCCAATTTCATTGATAAATTTATTAGCAAAGCTTTTTACACTTTGTAAATCTGCTAAATCCATTTCCCAAATTTCGACATTATTTGCATGTCCGTTAGAAGATTTAATATATTCTAATAAATTATTTCCTTTTTCTTTATTACGTGCCGGTAAAATCAATTTTTTTGGATTAAAACCAGCTAGAATTCTTGCTACAATTTTACCGATACCTTAAATAATATAAAATGTAAGTGATTGAATTATTTGAATTGAAAATACATAAGTTGAATTTATTTACCATCAGTAGCTCCGGTAAGAATTATACGTGTTTTGATAAATCGTAATTATTATTTAATTTGACTGGCATTGTTTTTTTTTTAAAAAAAAAAAAAAATTATTCTTGACAGTTTAAAGGATTTTAATTTCTTTTTATATGTTTTTTCTATCGATTACGAGTCTTTTGGAATACGTTGTTTTACGGAAAATGTTAATTGATAAATTTGTTGTGGATACGTCGACGCCCCTATTCTTTTCTTCGTTTAAAAGAAGATTGCCATTTTGGGCTAAAAAATGCAAAGAGCAAATATATATTACATAAAATCAATTAAAAAAAATCAACTCTCTCAGTATTTTCAATATTTGATATGGTATTTCATACAAGTAAAAAGTAATAGCGTCGTTACATAATTTCCAATATTTCCAATTTTGATAGGGATTAGTGTCGATCGGGAATTATTTTCACTGAATAATGAAATTCGAATATTTACTGTAATTCGTTCCATGATCTTTTAATATTTTTTTTTCAGAAATATTTAAGGTTTATTTATGTAAAAGACGAATGGCATACAAACAATTTACAAAAAAAAAAAAAAAAAATTAGATAAATTATTTGAAACTATGATTCCAAGTTATCCTTCGTTTTAATGAATGTCTACTATTTTAAACACTTATAAACACTTACGAAGATAATTATATTGAATATACAAAGCATTCAAAACGCGGTTAAACTGCCATTTATTTACCGATTTCTTAAATAGTACCATGTGGTTAATGGTAAAGTTGACCATGTACATGCGTAAATCACTCAAATATGATGATCAATTAAAAATATTTTGATTGTCCGAATACTGGATTAAAGCGGTTAAATAAAATTCTTTACCCGGATTCCACTGTTATATATTATTTTGTATAGTTTTTCCTTGAACGGATAAGATCCTAGGATTTATCCGGATTATCATATCATCCGGGTTTATTATTCGGTTAAATAAATTTGTGAAATAGATAATCCTATTAATAATCTTAATATTGTTCATATTCCAAATTAGAAATAAATTCATATATACATAAAACTATTACATATCATATATTATTCATTAATTCAACGTAATTTGGATATTCATAATATAATGGTGTAGTTAGCCGAAAAATAATTAGCCGCAACGTGATCCGGACCCGGCTCAGGCGTAGATCGTCGGCTAACTACACCATTATTTTCATAATAATTTCATAATAATTCGGATTATTCTGGAAGGATTACCCATTTTTGACAGGATATCTGAATATTAATAGTTTTTCATCGAATTATCCTATGAATAATTTAGGATAATTCATTTGGATATTTTATGTGGATATTTTTATGTTATGTAAAATGTAAATATAGTCGGTTTAACAACCAGTATAAATTGGTACTAATACAATTTTAAAGATTTTTCCGTAAATTTCTTTATAGGCAACAAAAATTATACTGTGAATCACGTCGTCAGTGGTGTTATGTTTATAAAATACTGTTGTATGCAATTCACGTCTTTTTTCTTGAATCAAGCGTGATATTTATCGACACGTGCGTGAAATAATACTATTCATTAAATAAGATTCATTTAATTCGCAATATTACTGGATAAATGATTTATTTAGGATTATTCTCATAATATAAGTACAGTACATCTAACAGAAATTATTTAACTAATACTAAAAAAAATAATACAATATGATTATCAAGAAATGTTGCTGTATAATGCGAGAAATTGTTAAAAAAAAGCTGAAACTTTAAATCATTTCATGATCTTTTAATATTTGTTCGGAAATATCCCATAGTTTTTTTGTAACTTCTTGATCATCTACAATTTTATTTGGTTCCCTTTCAATACCTTCATGATAATATTTTCCAGTTTCTTTATTATCAGGAGAAAGCACGGGATAAAGAGTATTGGTGGCACCTTGTTCAGATGTTATTTCATACATTTTTACAAATAAACCCAAGAAAAAATTTGATATGCCGCTATTCATGTGACCTATGTTAGATTGAATTACACCAGGATGAAGCGAATACGTCGTAATATCTTCATATTTAAAAAAAAGGAGTCAATTTTACATTTACTAGTAAAAAGATAAATTTTTTTTTTATTATACTTACTTTCGTTTTGAACTATATGACTTAGTTCCTTGGCAACAATAACATTCTTTTTTTTTTTTAAAAAAAAAAAGGTACCAATTATAAATTTCATTATCATTGAATAAAATATAAAATATAAATAAATAAACTATGATCGAAATTCTTACCATCAATTTAGTATCTGTCTCTTATACACATCTAGATGTGTATAAGAGACAGGTTTTACATTTACTAGTAAAAAGATAAATTTTTTTTTTATTATACTTACTTTCGTTTTGAACTATATGACTTAGTTCCTTGGCAACAATAACATTCTTTTATGTATAAGAGACAGAAATAATGTAATGTTAAAAAGAGAATTCAAACAAACGAAATTGCAAAAAAAAAACCAAAAACAAAAGAAATTAATTACCTGAAATTGTAATTCCAAGTTATCCTTCGTTTTAATGACTTGATTATTAATCATTATTCCTATGGAGGAAAATACATCGAATAGATAAATACGGTATATACAATAAATACGAAACCTAATAAAACACAATATAATTATTTTTATTACCTGCATTATTAAATAATATATGTAATTCTCCAATTTCGTTGATGAATTTATTAGCAAAATTTTTTACACTTTGTAGATCTGCTAAATCCATTTCCCAAATTTCAACATTGTTTGCATGTCCGTTAGAAGATTTAATATATTCTAATAAATTATTTCCTTTTTCTTTATTACGTGCTGGTAAAATCAATTTTTTTGGATTAAAACCAGCTAAAATTCTTGCCATATCTTTACCGAAGCCTTAAATAATATAAAATGTAAGTGATTGAATTATTTTGAAACGGAAATGTTTGTGAATTTATTTACCATCAGTAGCCCCAGTAAGAATTATAACATGTCTTGATAAATCACAATTATTATCTAATTTAACTGGCATTTTTTTTTTTAAAAAAAAATTTATTTTGATAGTTTGGATTTTAAGTCTTTTTATGTTTTTTTCTATCGATTATTACTAATCTTAACCGGGAAGGAATTACGTTAATTTGATACAATCCAGTTTAGAACTTGAGTAGGAATTATGTAATTCTGCCCACCGGTTGATTTTTCCCCGTAGTTATCGATAAATTTGTTTAGTGGGGTACATCAGCTGATATACATAGCAATGAATCGACATTTAATAATTTCCAATTTTGATAGCATCACGTAATTAATTTATCCGCTTTCTGATTTGTAAGCGGTTAGAAATTATTTTTTATTTATCGGATAAAAAGTTATTTTGCGTACCGCGATACGTAATGTACAGTAGATACAAAAAAAAAAAAAAAATAAGAAAATGAATTTATCATATAAATTTTTTTCCAAAAATCGAACTTAAATCATTTCACGATCTTTTAACATTTTTTCAGAAATATCCCATAGCTTTTTTACGACTTCTTGATCATTTGCAATTTCATTTGGTTCCTTTTCAATACCTTCATGATAATATTTTCCTGTTTCTTTATTTTCAGGAGAAAGCACGGGATAAAGAGTATTGATGGCGCCTTGTTCAGTTGATATCCCAATTATTTTCGTAGCTATTTTCACGACAAATTCCATGAAAACACCTTTTGCATTGGATATATTTGTTAGAATTATACCAGGATGAAGTGAATATGTTGTAATATCTACATATTTAAAGGAACAAAGGGTTAATTAATCTTTTTTTTTCTTCACGTTATAAAAATAAAAAATTGTTTATTTCCTTTATTACTACTTACTTTCGTTTTGAAGAATACGCCCTAATTCCTGAGCAATAATTACGTTCTTTATTTTTTTTTTCCAAATAAATAAAATATTTAGTCAGTTTTAAAGCATTTATAATTAAATAGGTAACTTAGACAAAATCTTACCATCAATTTAGTATTTGCATAACCATGAAAAGGACCAAAGTAAGCACCTTTCTCAAGATTTAAATTATCAAAATCAATTTTTCCATATCCCTGAGATCTTGAACTAGTAAATGCAATTTTTCCAGGTAATTCAACTGAAGCTGATTTTTTTATTGTATCCAATAACAATAAAGTAAGCAAAAATGGTGCTAAATGGTTAACCTATAATAAATTATATGTTAAAAAAAAAATTCAAATATCATATGTTAAACGATTGCAAAAATTAAAGAAAGTGATAAATTACTTGAAATTGTGACTCCAAATTATCCTTCGTTTTAATGATTTCTTTATTATTCCAAATACCTACAAATATATATATCGAATATATAAATATACGAAACATTCAAACAATTAATCGATTATTTTAATATTATTAATTACCCGCATTATTAATTAAAATATGCAATTCTCCAACTTCATTAATGAACTTATTTGCAAAATTTTTTACGCTTTGTAAGTCTGCTAAATCCAATTCCCAAATTTCAACATTATTTGTATTTCCATTTGAAGATTTAATATATTCTAATAAATTATTTCCTTTTTCTTTATTACGTGCTGGTAAAATCAATCGTTTTGGATTAAATCCAGCTAAAATCCTTGCCATTTCTTTACCGATGCCTTAAAATAAAATAAATATATATTTAGTATTATTTAAAATAGAAGAATAAAAAAATTTTTATCTTTAAAAAAAAAAAAAATTCAAACTTTTACCATCAGTTGCGCCAGTAAGGATTATGACATGTCTTGATAAATCAATTGTACCTAATTTTACTGGCATTATTTTGAATTAATTCAATAACTTTTTTTTTGAAATGTTTTATGAATAAAATGAAATGTGAACGAAATCACGCCACCGTTCACAGCTTGCCTTATATAAAAAAAATGGGAGATCGACCGTAACACCGTAAGTTGTGACCAATCAAAAAAGCGTGTCTATAAGGATCTATTTTTATAAGAATACTACAAATTATGGGTTTGGAAATCCTCGAAAAATTCTTGAAAAATAAATATAAATATAAAAAATCACTATTATTTATTTTATTTACGGATAATTGGATACTGAGTGACCACTGGTATATTGATGGAATTAATAATTATTTATATATAATGAAATTTTGCAATTTCCAATTTTGGTAAAAAATTAATGCCAAATGGTGATCTGGGAATATAAAATACGTTATTTTTTTTGATCATCTTTACGTAATTGCTCAATATAATTAGGGTTTCTATCTAATTATGGAAATATTAATTTATTTATTAGATGAAAAAGTTATTTAATAAAGATTATTTATACAAAAAAAAAAATTTTAAGAAATAAACAAAAAATTTAAAATGATGCCGCCTTAAAGTAAAATAAAAATATAGTTCATATTATTTTTATATTATTTTAATGAAAGTAAAATTTAATTTTGAAGAAAAAAAAAAAAATTCAATTTTTACCATCAGACGCGCCAGTAAGGATTATGACGTACTTTGATAAATCGTATGTACCTAATTTTACTTGCATTTTGAAATTATTCGGTCATCGTACGTAATTTGGGATATGTACACGAAAGTAAAAATATTTAATTCACATTTCACATTAATATCGGTGACCTTAAACTTATAACTAAACTATTCCAATATTTACCGCAGAATTGTGACCGTGGTAACAGCCAGAATTTATTGCTATAATACTTCTTAACAATTCTGACGTCTTTAATTTCCTATATATTATAATATATACTATCAAACTTGGATCCCTCTTGTAAATAAGATACAAAAGAAGCCAATCATACCGTATTTAAATACATAGGAATATTAAGATTTTTTATTATTACATATTAATTTACTTTAACAACGTAAAATTAAACGAAAATGTAGCGGGAAGTGAGAATATTATTTACCGTCAATAATTTAAATACTATATATCTTTTAATTGTTGAGGTGCGATATGCCATATTTGTATCTTAGGAAACCAAGGTCACTTAATTCGAAATTTCTGAAATCATTAATTACAGCTAGCAATCTTAATTATAAACCAATATATTTGCCTATGTATTTTATTTTCTTGTTTATTTTTTATTTTATTTTATACTAATAGAATTGCTACTTTTTATACATCATTTGCGAAGTCATGTAATTGAAAATGATTTTATATTTTCTTTTTATCCATGCGATTCGTGTAAATTGTCTTTTTCAGCGTATATTAAAATCTACAGATTTAAATTGGAGATATAGTCATCTTACGACTATACCTCGAATGATTCGTGATGAATAAGCATCACTCTAAATCAACCTTAATTCCAATATCATATTTGTTTTCTTTTAAAATAATTTCATTTCCTTTTCCTTTATTTTTAAAGGTTTCATTTAATAACTTCTTTTAAGAACGTTATTTAACGTCTTTTTATTTCCTTTAGTAATGGGCGGTTTGATTAGGTATTACTACGGTATGATATAGTGTACAATTTTTAAAATTTTCTTACAAATGGATCAAATTCTAACGGTTCATTTATCAAATGGCGAATACATTATTATGGAGTAATAAAGAAGAAAGAAATATTATGTCATAATTATAATAGCGATAATTAAATAATGACATCAATCATAGCATTCTTTCTTTTTATCGGTAACACTATAATTCTGGCCTACATTAAAAATCCTGTTTACCATGTTTGTAAAAACGTTGCTGAAATTTCTTAAATAGTATCAAATATCAATGGTGAAGCCCTCTGTACGATTGAAAAAATCAATATCTAAAAATTTAAAGTCTTTTTTTTTTTATTAAAAATTGATTCTAGGTCGTTTCTATTAATAATCAATTTTTTTATATTTTTATTAGAATAAATCTAGTCAAATTCTTTTTTCGAGCCAGCTTAGCTCGGCTCAAGGCTGAGCTTTTACTTAGCCCAGTTCGGCTCTAGCTTGAAAAAGTCAAGCTCGTATTTTATGCTCTTTGCATATTTCATTCATAAAATTTTTCATCCGATTCAAAATTTATATTAGCATCCTGTATATAAAGCTAATATTATAAATTAATTAAAATTAATTATTAAAATGATTTAACAAAGTAAAAACAATTTGTTCACCAAATTCTTGAAGATAAAAAATTTGGTTCAGCTAGTCGAGGACGATAAGACAATTATTTCTCATAAATTTCAATTATATACGGATTATTTGGTAAAATAAGTTTGTCAACTTTTCCATGATTTCCAATTTCCACTTGTTGATTTGTCTTTGATTGAAATATAAGTACATTATATCTTAAGCTTCACGTTTTTTAACATCTTCAGCCATCAAATAAAATGCTCTCCACGTAAACCTAATAATATTGCGTTATAAAAAAACTCTTAAGTAATGATCGCCGCGGTGTGGTCTAACTATCAGAATATGATTTAAAACTTTTTGGACTTTGAACTTCTTCGTTAGATAATCCATTAGCACCATTTTTTCACCATATCCTAAGTATTAAGTAAGTTAAGTATTTAATTTTCCTGAATAACAATTCAATTTATTTATATCAAAGAATTTTTTTAATTATAAATGTTATATTTGGGGGACGAAGTCCCCCAGCAAATCGCATATTCTAGTTGTAAATCTTAACTTTGGCTGATTCTAGGTATGGTACGAAATCCCAAAACTCAAATCCCAAAATCCAAAATCCCGACAGGTTCAAATTCCCGAAAAATCGGCCCACATTACTGCCCGAAAGTCGCTCTGTAAGATTTTGACCTGTATCTGTCGGGATTTGAACCTGTCGAGATTTTGGATTTCGGGATTTTGATTTTCAGGATTTTGAACGGCACCCGTTTTATCTATATGTTAAAAACGTAATCATTAGTTGTGTATTATAAAAATAAACAGTGTACATGTAATAACAACTTTTTAAAATGTTAATCTCTGGATATATGAGATTATATAATTAAAATTGATATTTTAAAACTATAAGATAAAAATATTGATTTATACTATGAATTTCAAGTGGAGTAACAAATTCATATAGTGCACAATACAATATATTGTATGAAAATTTTGTTTTTGAAAACAAATTTATTACTTAGTAAACTATATAATGACGCAAGAAACACTAAAAATGTTTATGAAATTATTCATTGAAAAGAATTAATGGACCTTGACCACCAATCATGACCCTTTTCTTCATCTGCCTCTTTATTTGATTCAAATGCTTCATATATCTCAGAATTTGAATCAATGTGACCAACTTCAGCTGCTGTGTTATATGATTTAAATGCTTCATTTGCATTACATTCTCCACTTACATAATATATCCCAAGATAACACATTGAATCAAAGTGACCCTTTTCAGCTGCTGCTTTATATAATTCAAATGCTTTATCTACATTACATTCTGTTCCTATTCCATTTTCATAAAATATCCCAAGATGGTACATTGAATCAATGTGACCTACTTCGGCTGCTGCATTATATAATTGAAATGCTTTGACCTCATCTTTTTTAGTTCCTATTCCGTGTTGATAACAAAATCCAAGATGATACATTGAATCAATGTGATCTACTTCGGCTGCTGCTTCATATGATTCAAATGTTGTATCTCCATTACATTCTGTTCCTATTCTATTTTCATAAAATATCCCAAGACGATACATTGAAACAATGTGGCCCTCTTCAGCTGCTTCTTTATATGATTCAAATGCTTTATTTGCATTATATTCTGTTCCTATTTTATTTTCATAACATAACCCAAGATGATACATTGAAGCAATGTGACCCTTTTCAGCTGCTTCTTTATATGATTCAAATGCTTTATTTGCATTATATTCTGTTCCTATTTTATTTTCATAACATAACCCAAGATGATACATTGAAACAATGTGACCCTTTTCAGCTGCTGTGTTATATGATTCAAATGCTTTAATTTCATTTTTTATAGTTCCTATTCCATCTTCGTAACATTTTCCAAGGTTATATTTTGAAACAATATAACCCTTTTCAGCTGCTTTTGTATATAATTTAAATGCTTTGATTTCATCTTTTTTAGTTCCTATTCCATGTTGATAACAAAATCCAAGTTGATGTATTGAATCAAGGTGACCCTTTCCAGCTGCTGCTTCATATAATTCAAATGCTTTAATTTCATTTTTTTCAGTTTCAATTCCATGCTGATAACAATATCCAAGATGATGTATTCCTGAAAGATTATTGCTATCATCTTTATTTGATAACTTTGAAGATTCACTCAAACGGTTAATATATTGTTGCAGTCCTTGACACTCCTTTTTATCAAAATGATTTTGCATTCGTTTAGGAACAGCTCGTTTAGATTCTTTAGGACAATATTCGCATCGTACGTGAGGATGTGGGTCGCCAACATTACCAATTATTTTAAAATGATTCCAAACGGGGCCTTTTTTTTAGTCATTTATATAATTTATTGCTTGATTGTGTATAATAACAGCGTAAAGTAAATGCGTATGAAGAGACTATATATAAAAAAATTGACATTAGGTCATCACGTTAATTATCGCGTTAATTATCGTCGTGTTGTTTAACTAATGTCAAACGATCATCTATCTGTAACAAAACCACTTCAGAAGATTTGTCCGATACATATGTTACTGTATTTACTAATATATATTTTTATCTTAATTAATTAATTAAAAAAAAAAATTTTACTCGTAACAAACTATTCAAAAGAACTAGATACAAAAATGCAAATACGACGAAATGGAATTTGTTATCGCTTTGTTTTATTAAAAACAAAAAATTTATCTTTTAAATGAAATTTAATTGAAAATTGATAACCCATGTCATGAATATTGCTTTTTATGTATAATTCTGAAAATTATTTTAAGAATACAAATAAATAGTTTGATAAATTAAATTTTATTGGCTTGAATTTTTACATGATGATTATTAAATTATTCGTAATACATTTTATGATCTGCATAATAATCAATCAAAGAAATTACGTAACAAAATCTTGCATGGTAAAAAGATAAATTGCATAATTGTTTATATACTAATTCTGTAATTTGAAATAAAACTGTGAATAAAAATAG